CCTTGAAAACTTTGGGTGGATTTAGAAAACTTGTGAAGTCAAAATTAGTTTGCCCCTATCTACAACACTAAACTAACCATGGATTACAGGGAATTAGTTGACGGGTGTATGATACATGACACACAACCCTTTGTAACCCTTTAAAAAAAACCATCCTGCTCGCTTCACCAAATTAAACGTTTCTATTAATAGTTTGATTGTCACTCCTAAAATTCCATAAACCTTGTACCTCATTTCTAACAACTTATTTGTCCCCCATATAACGTCCAATTGTAGTCCTGCGTCAGATTTGAATCATTTGTCTTTGATAAAGTACATGATCCCCCTGAGATTATCCTAATCCAGGTGAAAGTACTGCGAGTCAGTTTTGAAAACTGCCATATATTTGTATAACGAATTTCAACTCTATCTTTTGAGAATTACAACTAAGGCAAAAGACATTTCACTGTTTACTGAATTAATGCTCTCTTTTGCCTATTTTTTCCTTCAATCACTCATTGTCACAATCAAAATCTGAGTAAAAAAAGGTCTATATCATCTACATATATAGATAGAAAAGAATTTTTACCCTCATTTTTTCCTGCAATTTTTTAGCATCAAACTGCTCCCCTTCCGTGAAAATGTCTAGTGAGGCCATTGATGCCATGGCAAGTTTTCCTATATATTCCTCAAAAAGTTCACTACCGAAAAGCATTGCAAATATTGCTGCAGGATCGATAATTGCCTCACTGCAAAAAATAAACAGAATGAGAGAAGGTTATATTCCTTTCAATTTTTAAAAAAATGTGTATGAGCCTTGAAAATTGATATATTCATAGAGTCAGAGTAGGAAACTAACGTCGAGATTCCTGATTTCCCATGAACATCATATGCTTGCCGCTGTTTCACATCACTTAATACTTGGTAAGCCTCTCCCAACACCTGAACTTATGGTCGAGATCCAATGCAATGAACATATCGTACAGACAGAGTCAAGTAGTTTGCACCTCAACACTTACAATGTTCAAAAGGATTCGATGATATAGGCTTAATTAAAGAGAACCTCGAATAATCACAAATGGCCTCAGAAATAAAAATGTAAGGCTTGCCTGAAATTTCTCAGCTGCTCGAGGATCATTTGGGTTTTTATCCGGATGCACTTTTCTTGCCTGCATACAATAAAGAAATTGAATTTGTTTGTCTTCTTTTTGTTCTTCTTTAAGGTCACAATCTATTATCAGAATCAAACTTTATACGCATTAAACAGACAAACCCAGAATAAATCTAGACCCAGATTTTGAATTTGATTCCTCAAAGTTCCCAAGACTATGAAATTCGAAAATTGTAAAGGAAACAGGGAAACTTGAATTGATGGACATTCCATAAATAAAAGAAACTGTGATTATTACAATCAGATTGAATTGGAAGGGGATCTACCAAATGAGACATGTATAATCCTGAATAGACGACCCAATTAAAACAGATTATGAAATTTGAAGAAACGGGAAATTAGATTAAACCTTCATATAATAAGCTTTCTTGATTTCGGACTCTGTAGCAGAAGGGCTGACACCCAAGATATCGTAGAATTCAGTCTCCTTCACCATTGCCGATCAATATCCAGAATTTTGCAGAGATTAGTAATTTTTTCTGGAAAAAATATAAATTCAAAAGAAATGGTTTGGTTTTATGATCGGAATGAATGTGAAATTGAAAAAAAAATGAAAAAACAGAATCAAAAAATGAAAAAAAATGCGAAAACGATGGAGAAAGGAGAAGAAATATTCCAAAATTCAATGAAATGGAAATGAAAAACCGCGAATTTTGGCTTCATTCCACGCGCAGCCTCACACCTCTCGATCTCATCCCAAATTCAATTCCTTTGCAGCGTTGACTATTGCGTCTCTGCCGCGGCAGCACAGCCACTATCCTCTCTGGGGTAAATCGCACTAGACGTCCCCAAACTATTTCTAAATTGATTTTAAAATTTCAAAACGTTCTGATTAAATCTTTTGCTTTTCAATCAGATCCTTTCAATTGTATCGACTTCAGTTTGACATTAAATGTTGATTTAGATATGATGTGTTGTTAAGAATATCGGACTAGTAATCCTTTATGTACTACTAAAGAATCGACATACTTTCGAGCTTTTTGTTCTTAGGTCTCCAAAATAGTTGGTACAATGATAAAATTAATCCTTAATGTTTGATAAAATAGTTATTTTGGTTTCTATTTTTTAAGCATTTTGGCCATCTAACATTTTATTTTAGGATAAAACATATTTGATTATATAAAATTAACATTTTATGGAGGATTATGTGTGGTGTTTCTAGCACTCTTGTAATTGTTGGCCTCTTTTGGCTAAGCTTTGGTTTCTTGCTCTTTACCTTTCAATGGCTGCTTTTGCTGTAAGCAATCTTTTTTGGATTGTTTATTGGGATTTTAATTGATTTACTATAGAGGAACTGATACTGTCGAGTTCTGTTTTTCTGGGTTGCTTGAGGTTGAGTTGATTGTCCATACATTCTTCGATTAATGCATATAAACAAATGTTATCATGAACTTGGATCGATCCGATACTAGGATCGAAAAATTAAAATGTAAGTCATCGTTTGTATAAACAAAATTCATCATGAATGTGGATAGGTACTAGGAACGAAAAATTAGAATACAAATTATTACTCGTATGCACACATTTTACCATGAATGTGGATCGATTCGGTACTAGAAATGAAAAATTAGAATATAAATCACTATTTGTATGAACAAATTTTATCATGAATGTGGGTCGGTCTGGTACCAGGAACAAAAAATTAGAATGCCAATCGCCTCCCATATAAACAAATTTTATCATGAATGTGGATCGGTCTGATACTAAGAGTTAAAAATTAGATACTTATATGAATAAATTTCATCATGAATGTGGATTTTGTACTATATATGAACAAGTTATCATGAATATGGATCAGTTAGTTATTAAGAACGAAAAATTATAATTCAGATCATTATTTGTATGAACAAAATTTACCATAAATGTGGATCGGTAACGAAAAATTAGAATGCAAATAATGTGAATGTCAACTCATGGCTAATAATGAATTCATCCTTGGATGATCATCGAATCCCAGTCTATGTAATCTTTATTTGCAGCATGATATGAAACTATTAGCAGTAGACATTCCCATGGCATCAAGACCCGACCAGATAGATCCCGTGGTGAGAGAAATGACAGCAACCGAAGAATTCGAAGATCGTGACCAGATAGAGGACGATGAGGATGTCGAACGACAACTTCAAGAGGATGAAAGAACGCACGGAGAAGAGACTGAGAAGCTCAAAAACGATGTCGATCGATGATTGCTAGCTAGGTGTTGTTCTCGCCCTGAAGGTTTCACTTGAGGTTTGATAATGCCGGATGGCTCAATTCGACTAGGACTGACCCGACATTATATACTGCTCGTGAGTTGTGGCTAATGTCCATTGTTGCCAAATAGTTAAAGCATTGCAGACAAATGTCCCTGCTGAAGCAAATAAACCTGACCTTTGAAGCACCGTGCATAATGAACAATAAGAACGCAGTTATACAAATCGGAGCGAATTTGGTGCCCCGAACATGATCGAGCCGGTCCAGGACTGGTCGAGTCCATCACTACCAACACATCCTATGGATGCCAATGGTTTCCTACTAAAGACACCAAAGCAAAATGTGCCATAAATGATCAAATTAGGTTAGATTATGTTTGAACTAGATTAATCGAATAAGACTTTCGAGTTTGAATCGAAACCGGGGAGTCAAATCCAGAATTATGTCAAACAACTTACAGTTGAAGACAAACAAAGAAACTAAAAGGACTGCACCCCGTGAATGAAAGTGTCCCTTTGAATTATTAGCACATTTGTTGTTGATTATCAAAGTTAATTCCAAGTCCAAGCCTTTAATCATAATAAATTCTCCTTGTGTTATAAATTTCATCATTATCTCCTAGACTTATATTCAAATTCAACACCTTAACAAGTAATATTTTTTAAATCTAATTAATAATATCCGATTCATTAATCAATTAATCTGAATCTGATATTACAAAAAAATTTATACGATGATTCTCCCAGTCCAATTTATTTTAATTACACAAGATTTTATTTCTAATTTTAAATTTCTAGGTTAAATCCCTGCCTGATTGGTTCACTTTTGATCCATTAAAAAGAAATAAAGAAGAAAAAGAAAACCCCTTTAGCTTTCATGCATGTAAAAGCAAACAAAAGATGTAGTGATAGGGAAAGCAACCATAGCTTTTATGACCAACGGTCCATTGTAATGGACCTTTAAACCCTTTAATAGGCCCTCCCCACAGCACCATTTGTTTGGTAGGGTTATGAATTTAGTCCCTCGAATTTCGAGAATCCATAATTTTTTAGGGTGTGAAGTTTACGTTTAAATTCTTAATGGGAGTCGAAGTTTAATTTTTTATTGTATTAGTTTACACATTTAATAAAATTTTGAAGGACTAAATTAAAGTAGAGGGGTTAAGTTTCAAATTCTATCGTATTAAAGGGACTAAAACTAAAACTAGACCTATTGATAGATGTATCATTGTTAGGGATGGACATGGATGAGGCGGATCAACTTTTAGTCGTCCCACCCTTACTCGAAAATTAAAGCTTTTCATCTGTTCTTGTCTTGTCCCGACATGTGGTAATGTTTCTTTCAACTTAAAACCGACTCTGCCCCAATCTTGATACTCAACCCTACAAAACCCTCATGATCGGACTTGATTTGAATATGAATTGAAAAAGCGACCTTATAAAGTAGGGTTGAAATTCGTAGGATATTTTGACCATCTCTAATCATTGCATGTATTGCAAGAGTTATTCTCACATTTGATCCCTATATATTTTCAAGGCAAAACCTCTTGCAGTTGAAGTTTCCTAATGAAGTTTGCTCTCCAGTCCACTCCATCTACCAACCTGGAAGATATCATCTCAAAAGCTAGTAAAATGAATCAATTATATATTTGTATACATATATGTTAATATAATGACAGATACTGCATAAGTTGGTGACAACTATACTGCCTGAGAGCTAAAGAGGGTTGCTTTTTTCCAGTGCAGTGTAACAAAGAATAATGCTTGCAACTTTTGCTTTTTCTTTATGAATTTGCTTTATCTTTCTCCCCCCCCCCCTTGGATGCTTTGCTTTACCAGTTTGCTTTTGAAAATTTGAAACACCCCTTTGTTTTACATCTTTTAAACCTGTAAATGCTTTAAATTTGGGGCCAGTTTACTTTGTTTCTTGTTAGAGCTTTGCTGTACTAATGCAATAGAAACTCCATTCTTTTATGTCAATGATCTTATTATATTTGCATTAGTGTATGAGCCTGCTCTGAATTCTGATTCATACTATGTTGCATTGTGTTCTATAGCCGAATCCAGGAGGAAAAGCAGCAGAGAGACGATACTCGAAAGTTCGATGAAGTTCCATCCCTTGATTGCCTTCCTTTTGCTTGTGTTATTGCCCCTGTATGTGTTTGTTCATGTTGTGGCAGATCTGAATTCCGATAAGCAAGCTCTCCTTCGATTTGCAGCTGCAGTTCCACATGTTCGAAAACTGAACTGGAATGCGGAGACACCGGTTTGCACATCTTGGGTTGGCATAACTTGCAATACAAATGGTACTGGTGTGATTGCCATACGGCTTCCAGGTATTGGACTTTATGGCACCATACCAGCCAAGACCATAGGCAAGCTTAATGATCTGAGGGTCCTTAGCCTTCGGTCCAACGACATCAATGGAAGCTTGCCTTCTGATATCCCCTCCATTCCTTCACTTCAGTTCCTGTTTCTCCAACACAACAACTTGTCTAGTATCTTGTTCCCCACGTCTCTTTCTCCGAGTTTGAAAGTTATGGATTTTTCCTACAACTCTATATCCGGGACCATCCCGAGTCTCAATCTCCCGAGGCTCAAAGTTTTGAACTTCAGCTATAATAACTTGAGTGGCTCCATTCCAAGTTCACTCAACAGATTCCCTTCTGCATTCATCGGGAATCCGTTGTTATGCGGTTCGCCTCTAAGGCCTTGCTCCACAGTCTCCTCTCCACCTTCCGCTTCTCCATCAATCCCGCAAATAGTTTCTCAAAGCCGACATACTAAATCGAAAAACAAACTAGGCACTGGCTCTATCGTTGCAATTGTCGTTGGGAGCTTAGCATTTGTGTTTCTAGTGCTTGTCGTAATCTTTATATGCTGTTTGAAGATGAAAAATAGTGGCAGCAGAGGGATGTTGAAGAGCAAAATCTCTGGAGTTGGAAAGAATGAGAAGCCTAATGACTTCGGAAGTGGGGTACAAGAAGCTGAAAAGAACAAATTATTTTTCTTCGAAGGATGCTCTTACAACTTCGATCTCGAGGATTTGTTGAAGGCTTCAGCCGAAGTTCTCGGTAAGGGGAGTAACGGAACAACATATAAAGCTGCTTTGGAGGAAGGGACACAGGTGGTGGTGAAAAGATTGAAGGAAGTTGCAGTTGGTAAAAAGGAGTTTGAGCAGCAAATGGAACTTGTTGAGAGGGTCGGACGACACCCAAACGTCATACCGCTTCGTGCTTATTACTATTCGAAGGACGAGAAGCTGTTGGTTTACAACTACATGCCCGCCGGTAGCTTGTTTGCACTTTTGCACGGTATGCAGTATGCTTATCTCCATTAACATCATATTGGACCTATTAGTTTGCCAAGTAGAATGGTTGTTTGTTACATTGGTATGGAAATTTTTTTTACGTTTTAGGCCTATTTATCTGTCTCCAACAATGGTAGGAAATAGGAATTCAGGGAGAACACCATTAGACTGGGAATTGCGAATGAAGATCGCCCTCGGAACTGCTCGAGGGATTGCAAACATTCATACAGAGGGTGGTGGTAAATGCACCCATGGCAACATCAAGTCCTCGAATGTCCTCCTCACTGATGAACTCGAGGCTTGTGTTTCCGATGTTGGCTTGGCTCCTCTATTGAATGCTCCTGGAACCATGTCTCGCACCATTGGGTACCGTGCTCCAGAGGTGATTGAAACACGCAAGATAACTCAAAAGTCCGATGTTTACAGCTTCGGTGTGCTCCTCTTGGAAATGTTGACTGCAAAAGCTCCTCTCCAGCAATCAGGGCATGATGATGTGGTCGATCTTCCGAGATGGGTCCGTTCCGTCGTACGGGAGGAATGGACCGCTGAAGTCTTCGATGTAGAGCTGTTGAGATACCAAACTTTCCAAGAAGAGATGGTGCAGATGCTTCAGATTGGACTAGCATGTGTGGCGAAAACACCTGATATGCGTCCAACAATGGATGAAACCGTTAGAATGATAGAAGACATTCGGCAGTCCGAATCCAAGAACCGGACATCATCGGAGGCCGAATCAAACATCCAAACACCATGATTTGCTTCAAAGCAAAAACTTGTTTCTCTTTGGATTTCAAATGTTCAATTCTCTAGTCCTTCTTAAGGTTGCTTGTCTAGAAAACCTTTGGGACAATAAGCTTTTGTTTCTTCGATTAGCTCGGAAATTACTTTTCCGATATCTCCATATGTTCCTTGACTTGCATTCATCAATGTCCTCAAAAGTTTATTAAATCATGCAAAACATAATAACATGTCCAAAAAGCTTGATTTCAATGGAAAAACTTATGTCCCATAGACATGATTGTAACACCATGCCAAATTTACCTTGTTACTTATAAAAGATTTCCTTATAACTAACAATAATAACAAACTCATATGGTCATCTCAATATCCTATATTCTCGGTTCGCATCCATTGTTTTGTCTCCCTCCTTCATATTCTTTGTTCTTCTTCTTTCTTTTCCGTTTTCGGCTTCAACAGCCGTAATCACATGGAACATCAAAATGCTTTGATTACATAGAACATCAAATCCCTGTAGGATCCCAAGGTATATGTTTTTCTTCCTTTTTTCAATTGATTCTTCATACAATGATAAATTTAATCAATTCTGGTCGAATGTAGATTGCTTGCAAATATCTTGTTTTCCTCGCATTGTTGTTGGACCATGTGATATGACACATGCATCAAATGTAATCTGAGGGGGAAAAGATAGATCGAATAACCGAAAGATCAAGAATTTTAATGCAGAAATATATGCAGAGATTGTAGGATATTTGAGCTTTGAAATCAGGAATGATGTTCTTGCATGCTGGATTCGTTTCCTCCTTTTCGAGTCATATAAACTGATTTTCGTCCTATTTGTAGAGGCCTGCTGTAACTTCATCGATAAGGGTCAGCTGGGAAAATGGGACAGTGGTGGAGCAAGGTGAATCCTTCGAAAACAAACCATGTACGGTGCCGAAAACAATGCTTTTCATCGATAACATAACATGCTACGGAATTATGACCGCCGATCATTTGTCGTTCACATAATTTCGTTCATATATACAAATGCATTGTGTATGTATGTTGAACAATCCCGAGTTCCCAAATGGCACCGATCCTGTCAAGTGCACCTTGCAATTGTATATTGACGGATATGATTGGCAAAGGGCATGTAGGTTGCAGGAATGTTGTTAAATCATTATTCAGATGATTGTTGGTGGTAAAGATGGTGCATATATACGTGTATATATATAGCTTAATTCGTGTTTAATCACTTGTGGTGTACAGTTCTTGCAGTTCTTCAAGTGTCGTAAAGGAGAAGGCACGAAGGATCAACAGGCGTTGTGTCCGGAACACACGAGCAAAAACGTTCACCATATAACTACCAAACAGAGCTGGGAGGAAAAACTAACAGAGGCAACTAGAGACGGAAAGATCGTAAGCCCCTTTACGTTTTTCGGATCAATATATATGCATCGAGTGTCCTTCATTGTGTGTTCCTCATTGCTTTCATGCATGCTTCTTGTACAGCTCGTTGCAAATTTCAGTGCACCATGGTCGGCTCCTTGTAGATCAATAGCACGAGTCTACGGCGAACTTGCGGATAAATATACTTCTCTCGTGTTCGTAACTGTCGATGTCGGCGAACTTGCAGTAAGTGAAAAAAGAAACCCTTCTTTTTTCTTGAATATTTTCAAGTTTGTGCATGAAACGGTCATTGATGAGTTACAATATACAGGAATTTAGTAATTCATGGGATGTAAGTGTCAATCCAACATTCATTGTCATTAAAGATGGAAGGCAAGTGGACAAATTTGTGGGTGCTGACAAGGCAGAACTCAAGAAGAAGATGGCAGCAGTTGCTGCCAGCAAGTTTTGACCACATTTTCCATTACACAACCGTGGTGTTTTGTCTGTTTTTTTAGCCTAATTGTTTCTTCACTAGCTCTTAACCCTATGTTTGAATAGCTTTTAACCCTAATTTTGTATCATCCTAATGCTACTACTGTATTTGTTTGAGGATTTTTTATGTTTCGTAGTTAATGTTTCTGATCCCTGTTCTATCTGTGGCACACACATCGAACAGATTCACTTACACGCACCGAACATAGATCATACATGTTGAGTTTTGAGTAATTAACAATGTCGGACAATATATTAGAAATAAAAAACTTTCGACGAAAATAATATTAAGTTCCTTTGGTGTCATCTCAACAAACATGTTTAATTGCAGATAGTGTTCTAATTAGAGAAACATGAAAGAACAGATAGAAACATATAAGTTCATAATAGGAAGCCTGCTGATGGCCCTACAGTCGGATCTCAAGCATTTCTATTTAAGAAATGAAGCCGCAGGCCTCACATAAGTGAACCACTTGAACGGATTATCTCCGAAAGTTGGGCTAGCAACCGGAGAATCATGAACTGTCATGTTAGTCCAGCATTCGTCGAAATTTGCAACACATTGGTTCCCTGCAACTTCGGGGAGAAAACTTGGCCTTATCTCTCTAGCTTCTAATTTCTTCCAGTTAATGGACTTGAACCACTTATGCCATTTGATCTCCTCGCTACCGCCTTGTCCACTGCCAAGACGCTTACTTGCTTGTTTCTGCAGCAGCTGAAGGAAATAACAAAATTCTTTTAAATTTATTTATTTGCAGCATCAACCTAGAGCAGTACAAGTTTATACACTTTTCTGTATAAGTAGAAAAACTAAGTTTGCCGATAGGCAAATATTGCACATTTCAGAGCACGGAATCATACGGTAAAGGTTAGAGCTTAAAGGCATAAGTATGTAAGAAAGTGAGTTACCCCCTTGAGGATCGCGTGTGCTTCACTCGACAAAAATGCAGGCAGCTTTATCTATTACTTTATTATTTTCTCCTGGATCTTCTGTCTGTTTCCACCACAAAAGGGTGGCTGTAAAATAGTAAACAAGAAACAAAAAGTAAGCTAAGCATGACTCAGGAATGGATGAGAAGCACAGGCCACTACCCCTGAACTTCTAGAGGACGTAAGCACAAATCGAGATCTTCAATCACAAAAACAACCTTCCCAGTAAGCATTTCGTACAGTAGAATTCCTACACTCCACCAATCAGCAGCCTTGTCGTGGCCTTTGCAAAGAACAATTTGGTGACATATATTCTAAAGTTCCACACATGGAATTGGATCTTGTATTTTCGTCAAATTCCTTCGCTAGGCCAAAATCAGTCAGCATAACCTGGTAAAAGACAGGTAGCACCAGCCACCATAAAAATAGTTTAGAGATCAATCAAAGCGATGTTAAACATGAGTCAGAAATGCACACAGATGACCAATCATGCAATCACATAGGTCGTGACAACCACAAAAACCAACCATTTACAAGCACAAACGGTGTTTTGCACTCTTACATGTCCATCTGCGCCTAGAAGAATATTTTCAGGTTTGAGATCCCTGTGCATTATGCCATTTGCATGGAGATGAGAAACAGCTGATACAATCTCTGCAGTATATATGCGAGCCAAATCTTCCCTAGAGATGGAAATGCAAAATGTTCGTCAAGTCCAGAAATTTACAACATAAAGAGAAATACAAAAAACTGTCACAGCTTACAATGGAGTACCTGAACAAGCCCTGGCGATAAAGCTGGAAGAAAAGATGCCCCCCATTAAAGAAGTCAAACACAAGGTACATCCTATATTTGGTCTGCAGGCAATGATAAATGAATAAATTTGTATTTATCCTAAATATGAGACTCAAAAAAATTGGACTGCCACATGGGACCATCTAAACATGAGAATAATATAAGAGAATAAAGCAACCAGAAATATCAAACTTTATTCTACGAGAACATCAGTACTTGGAACGAGTATCTGAGCTGCACAATGAAGGGGTGATCCACTTTAGTTAATATATCCTCTCAGATTTCATATATACAGCGTGATTTTTCTCCATAATCTTATCCTTGCGCACGACTTTCATTGCATATATGTCTGAGGTACCACTCCTTACTTGATAAACCCTTCCAAAGGCACCTTGGCCAATAACCTTCAAAACTTCAAAATCTTTGAGTCCTACAAGCTGATGTTCCAAGGGATGACTCTCTGCATGACCATGAGAGCTCTTCGAAATAACATCATCAATCAATGGTTTCCCAAACTCATTTTGAGCCCCATCCCTAACTCCTTCAACGAGTTCCAAGGATTCCCCAATTTCACGTAATGTAAGCTTGCAAAGTTTCAGTGACTGGTTAACATAAGATGAGGGGCCAACCAAGGAGTGGGAGCGACTACAGATGACAGCTGGATCATCATAAAGCAGTTCATTTGCTTCAGTTGCAACAGCCAGATTTTTAGGATTCTCTGTGCTTATTTCCATTGATGCTTGAACCGGAGCAGGTCCAAACACATCAGAGAAATCAAACTCAAGATGATCAGAGGTCGGGGTCTCAGGTTGTCCCTTGGGAAAAAGCAACTGATTCTGGAAGCCTTTGTGCATGCGGGACCCATTTAAACTAGATAAGCGAGAGGAAACCATGCTGCTCTTAAGAAAAGAGGCAAGATTACTTTAAAAAGGCTTTGAGGCTATGGTTGTAAAGATTCCAAGATACAAATAGATGAAGAGGGGAAGTGTACAATGGCCTTAAAAAGCTGAAAGTTAACATATGCAACAAGGGTTCCCAGGAAACTAGGAAGCAAGCAAGCCAAAATCCAGAAGGGAAAGTCGTTCTTGTTTCCCGATTTGCAGGAAACTGTGGATGCAACAGTTCTTCTTGAATTCATTAAGATCTGGTTCACAAAGCTGCAGCCCAAGGCAACACAAAGTCAGTTCCAGCTAAAAATTAAAGTCCTAATAATCACCTAAACATAATAGAGCAAAGGTGGCATCAGAGGAAGGTAAATTCCACATAAAAAGAATGACAACGCACACATGATGGCGTCTTAGAACAACAAACAAAGAAGTGAAGAAGTGAATACCAGACATTAAGTAGCTAATATGTCTACTAAGTTCCAAAACTCAAAACACTGTAACAAACCGAACGAGTTTATCCAGCAAAATTCACTTCAATAATTGCATATATAGTGAAAGCGTCTTCTTAAATATCAACTTCTATCATTTATATACCTTTTCATCTAACAAATAATGTTCACACAAAACCACATTTTTCCCTATTTGATTTAGATAAAAATTCAAGTCAACTCAAAGCTCTAACTTAAAAGTTATGCAGAAAACAAGGAAAAGCGTCACAAATAATTAGACCAATCCGAACCTGAAATCCAAACCCGACCCAACATGCTTTATTCATAAAAGTCAACAACCCTAAACCCGGACAATTGAACCTGAACCCGAATATGACCCGAAGTAACCAAAATTGACCTAAACCAAAATTATGCCGACCCAGAATGATCCAATCCAAAACCAATCTAACACATCCAACTGAAAGACGTATGATTCAACATGCAAAAAGAACCAACGAAATAACAACTAGATCTAAGCAGCTTAAAGCCCAGTTTTTTCGTCTAAAAAAGCATTATTATTTATAATTCATAAAATAAGAAATAAAACTCACCAATCCCAATGAAAAATCGGAAAATAAATTAAAAGTTGAATCAATACGTGATTTTCCAATCCCCCGCACACAAAAGAAAACAATTGAGCAAAGAAATAAACAAAAACTAAGAAGAAGAGAGTAAAATATATGTAAATTAAGAGAAGCAGAGAAAAAAAGGAGAGACCTTTAGTGGGCTGCAGAGGCAACAACGAGGAGACGAAACGAAAGCTTCTTCCTTGGAAGAAAATGAGGGAACTTTTGAAGAGAAACGTGCCGTGTTTATGTACTAAAATGAAAACCTGCTTCGATCTGATTGCTGTAGTTTACACTACGTGGCAGTTTTCTAATGGTTGGTCTAGGTAAAGTTAGAATTCTAAGGCTTTGCGTTAAGGAATATGGGCATATTCCAACAGTACTGAATTAATATTTGATTTAAGGGTAAGCTACATATATGATATACGGTCAATAATTTTTAAATAAACTTTTGTTTTCTACACTATAGTTTTAAAACTGAAGAATTGATCATTAATGTTATTGGTTTATAACAAATTGATCACTTGCCGTTAACAGTAATTACTAAAGGTAACAAAATATTCATGTGGCATATTAAATCGGTGACTTGACACCATTTTATCACACAAAACGCCCACATATGTTGATCGTTTGACTTCCCAAAACTTTTGGCCAACATTTAAATTTTTTTTTAAAAAATACTAATAAAACCATTAATCACTATAGATTAAAAAAAACCAGATATCATATTATAAATTTAAAACATTTGTGGAAAAAATTCTTCAAAAATTGAGAATTAAAACGAATGCCAATAAAACCATTAATCATACTGATATAAATATATCATGATTATAATTAAAATAAAATATAAACTATGGATTAACGTTTGATCTTAGGGGGTGTTTGGTTCAAGGAACATGTTTGGTTGGCCGGGAATATCATTTTCGGTAATATTTTATTACCAATCAGTGACGGATCTAGAAATTAAAAAATGGGGGTCCAAAATTTTAATGCTCATATTCTAAAAATTTTGGGTATGTAAATTTTTTTATTTTTTTTATTTTAATTAACAAATTAAACTAAATTTAACATTTTTATCAAAATAATGAGTGTGCAGTGGCGAAAGTCAAGTCTCTCTAAACAAAAATATATATTTTTATATTTAATACACAAGATTCGAACTTCAAACATAACACCAACAAACTTAAAATAAACATCTGAATTTCGATTATTAATACCATTCATTTCCCTTTTGATTTACATTTCAGTTAGAATCTCAGCTAAAATTCTTCATGAATGCATGAATTCAGTTCAAAATGAAGGTGAAGGGTCTAAAACTTCTTGTAAATGATGCCAACAGCAAAGAAGCCTCATTCTCATAACAATAAACCACAAAACTACACTTACTACAATATTATTGTTTTTATTCTTTTTATGATTCCCTCATCAGCAAAACCTGACCTACAAAACCGCAACAAGTTAGAAGACATTGAAGTCCCGTTCGCTTCTACTCCGACTCTGGTTTCTCCAGAAAGGTCTTCTTCAACCAATCAAACGGCTGCCAAAGACAAAAGAAACTCTTAAAGCATTAGCTAACGATTCATTAACTCATAAAACTACAGCAATCTAATGACAGATTCAACAACAGGCAGAACTCTGAACATCAAGTTCTCTTTCTCGTAAAATAATGAAGCAATTCACTATCGTAGAAAAAAACACTCTAGCTGTGTCATAACTCATAAATCCACTCGTATAGAGCGAATTTCTCAAATGATAAAATCTTAAATAACAGGTTTTACTTCGAAAGATGTACTAGTATCCAGAATTTTTCCAACATACAAGGATCCACTTAGTTAACCAACCAAATACAGCGTTGCAACGAGTTTCACTTAATTGATTGAATGTTCAAATTAACAACAACCTTTATAAAACAAACATCAACAAATGTAAGCAGATCGTATATAACCTTGTTGTATTTGTAGATCAAATGTTTAATGATAAACAAACATATTACTATCTGATTGGAACCACAAGACCAAAGATGATGCTTTAGGATAAACAAGGGTGTTGCATCAGTAAGGACAACAAAAAGTGGGCAAAAGTATGCGATGATGTTAAACTGTTCCGAATTAAAATATGATACAAAAGAGAATTTGCACTCCATGGGTGGTTTAGAGCAATCCATGTTCAATCATGAACCCCTTGAAACTAAACCATATCTAAGATACAAAGCCTCGAATTCAACTTTTAAGTCACTATTCAAGGCAGTAAGGTTCCTAATATTCCAAAAATGTTTATGGAATGATCAGAAAAAAGGGACCGAATATCCTGCAAGTAATGTTAGGAAGATCGAAAACCAAAAATAGCGGCATTCGCTAGCAACAACATAATGAAGCGGTCAATCAAGATGGATTGATCCGAAATCTAACTCAAATCCAATATAGCACCTATGGGTAAAATAAGATATGCATCAAGTGTATTTATTGCTCTTCTCCAACCCTAACTGCCAGACATGAAAGCAGACAGCTAATGCATTCCACTTAATTTAACAGAATTCTATGTCCCGTCAACGATCCCTGCATACCCAAGGGATCCTTGGGATGATCTTGTAGGCGGTGACGATGGGATTTGTCAATGGATTTTCCTTCCATTTTTGCCGCATTTCGCTCAAAAGATCGAAGGGAGATGGTGCAAAGATTTTTTTTTTCCTTCATTATTGAACAAATATCATAATTCAAAGGTCTAATTTTTAAGATAAGCTGATCACAAAAATAGATCCCAAACCAATTTATACAATAAAAGGGGGAAATCTAGTGATAAACAGATATTTTTTTCTAGTGATAGACCGTTAATTTTTTTTTCTATCGATCTAATAGAAATAAAAGAAAAAAATCTATGAAAAAGAATTAAACCTGGATGAACCAAAGAGCGCCAGTAGTGGCAGCGACACCCCACATGGCGGCGGCTTGGACATCAGCGGGGTGTGGACGAAGCCCAGGCTTAAGAAACTTCAACAAAGCCCTTTCTCCTGCCATATCCTTAAGATCCCAACGAATTCGATTTCAAAATAAAAACCCCAACTATTTTTGTAAATGATCCCTTTGTTGAAATGCTTGAATGTCAATGTTTCAATTCTGCTCCCTCATTGGATTTTAGTCTAGGGATTGTTTTGGACCCTACGATTGGCTCTTTCAGTTTCTCGTCAACGGTGGGAAACGTAATATTAAATTTTTGGTTTAATTGAATAATAAGTGTACAAATTATATTTCTTATCTATTTTAAGTGCTTAAAGTTTTTTTAGTCAAAATATGGGCTAATGCTTTCAAAATCGTCATTTTAAGTTCAATTCTTTCACAATCGTTAAAAAATCTATTAAAAATCAATTAATCAATCATTGTTTGACACATGACCTAATTTTTAATTTTTGTTACATTTTTAAAAATAAAATTCATAAAAAATTTGAAAAAAACTTATTTTTTCTATTTTTCACCAAATAACTCAAATTTTATAGAATCCTAAATCTCTAATCAACCACCACTGGCACCCTTTTCGTGAATGGTGTAGATCGAACAACGATTGACAGTGCAAAGAGAAGAGGGAGAAGGGCAATGACGTTGGTTTCATGATGGGTTCAGACAAACAATCAATGACAGAGAGAGAGAGAAAAATGTGGGTGAACGAAATAGGGGTGCATCGACAATAGGGTATGGTGAAGAGTCTCGTTGGCGACGAGTTTTCAGGGAGAGAATGGACGACTATAGGAGGAAGAGATTAATAATTTAGGGGTTTAAGGTTTAGGGGATTTATGGATTTAAGTTTTAAGGATCTAGGAGATTGGGACGATAAAATTTAGTTAGTCGATAGTAGGGGTCCAACAACAGATAGGTCGATATTAGGCAAAGACAATGGTGACTGACTGTGGTAATGAAGTTTGAGATTAGAGATTTTTGAGTTTTTATTTGAATTTTAGAGAAATATGAGATTTTTTAAAATAATAATTTTAATTTAAAAAATAAATTTTTCAAAAAATTATAAATGTGATATGCGTCACATTTTGAGTAAGTGACACTTTTTTGAATGACCATGATGGAATTGACCTTAAAATGGTACTTTGAAAACTTTAAACACCTACTTTTACATAAAAACTTTAGAAATCTAAAGTAAACAAGATGTATAGTTTAAACATTTATTTTTTAATAAAATCTAAATTTTAAGATAAATTAACGTATAATGTCACAACTAAATATTTTCATCTATATTTTCATGATTAACTAAAAAAATGAAGATGATGGTAGAGTGTTCTAGAATACAATGAAAATTTTTAAAACACAGTGGAATTATCTAGAATATTATGAAAAGTTTCATAATACTCTTGAACATTTTAGAATACTATAGAATATTCTAGAATATTATGGAGGTTTTGAAACATCATAGAACATTTTAGAACTATGAAGAAGATTCTAAAATACTGAAGAGACTCGTGGAAGATTTTAAAAGTTTATGGAGAATTCTCCAGGCATAAATTATTCTAGATTTATATAAAAATTTATAGAAACGAAATATGGATTGTAGGATCAAACTAATCTACACCGTCTATTGAAGAGATGAAAGGTTATATAAAGGAACTTAACCATTTGTCAAAGGTACCTAACTATCCCCTATTATGGATTAAACCACCAAGAATACTCCCACATTTGCAAAATGAACATCAGTCGATATAGAATATGATAATCCGATATCGACGAATATTTGATTCCTCAATATGTTTTATTTATTCGAATTGTTGAAGTTTTTATTTGTATGAGATGATATCTCCCGCCCGATATTCAATTGATATGAATAAGAGATGTTATAATTTTACTATATTTGACTAAGAATATTAAATATTTGGATCGATTAATATGAGAACCAATAGTTTGAATTGTCTGACAACCGTTCTAAGTTTAAAAATCTTGAAATTTTGTTCAATTTTGATAGGATAAAATGATTGAAAAAAGTCAATGAATCTAAAAATGAACAAAAATAAAAAAAAATGATTAGGATATTATTGTTTTCATGATTTTCATACAATGCAGTAAAGAAAATTTGATAACAAACCAAACTACTAATCCGTCGAAAATAAAGATGTCTAATGTCTATACAATTTCATTTAGTGATTGATTGACTTGATCAAATTCTGTTTTTACTTTGATTCACTTTGATTATATTATGGTTGTTTTAAATTTTATTAAATAGAAATATAATTTGAAAGAATAAAGTAGTAATTTTTTTAAATAATTATTTGATATTAGACTCCTCATCCTTCACATCTATAAATAATTGTTGAGAACAAAGATTTTATATTCATTAAGAAAACCAAAGGTTAAGCAGTATGAAGATGTTAGTGATTTCACTATCTTTCACTCTTTTAAGCATAGCTTTGCATGGAAATGCAAATGCCAATGAACAACAACACTTTGACACCGGAGGGTTGAGTAGGGATAGGTTTCCCGATGGCTTTGTGTTCGGAACAGCGGCATCAGCGTATCAGGTGGAAGGAATGGCAAGTCAAGATGGTAGAGGGCCTAGCATATGGGATGCATTTGTTAAAATTCCAGGTTAAAAATTAACATCAATTCATTTCATTTCTTTTCCTTTAATTTGTGAAATTTGTTCCATGAGTTTATATACTAACGCTAAATGAGGTGATATCACATAAAACAGGACACATTGCGAAGAACGATACCGGTGAAACTTCTATTGATCAGTATCATCATTATAAGGTATAATCGATCTTAAATCTTAAAACCCTAAATTTATAATCTTAATAATATTCTTGGGTTCTTCTTGTTTGCAGGAAGATGTTGATCTGATGCAGATGTTGAATTTCGACGCCTATCGATTTTCGATCTCGTGGTCGAGAATATTTCCAAGTATATAAACAATTTACTCTTATTATATCAACATTTGAAAATCATTACCATATACATTTGATCCATACTTTTGGGGTGTAGATGGAACAGGAGAGGTAAATTGGAAAGGAGTTGACTACTATAATAGATTGATTGACTATATGATTGAAAAAGGTACATTTATTCATTTACTTGTATAACTATGCTATATGAGAAATACTACATGACTTGTATGGAATCACTGCAGGAATCATTCCCCATGCAAATTTATACCACTATGATTTGCCACTCGCTCTTCAGGAAAGATATAGAGGTTTGCTCAACAGACAAGTTGTGTAAGTTCAAACACAAACAACATTTTTTTCAATGGAAAAGAACTCTAAATCCTAAATCCTAAACCGTAAATCTTAAATTTGTTTGCAGGAAAGACTTTGGTGATTATGCAGAGTTTTGTTTCAAGAGATTTGGTGATAGAGTAAAGAATTGGATGACATTTAATGAACCAAGAGTGGTTGCTGCTCTTGGTTTCGACAATGGCGTCAACCCTCCTAACAGATGTTCAAAGCAATTCGGGAATTGCACTCATGGAAACTCTTCCACTGAACCTTATATTGTTGCACACCATTTGATTTTGAGTCATGCTGAAGCTGTTAAAAGATATCGTCAAAAATATCAAGTAATAATCATTTTGGTTTTCATTCTGTTTATTTATATATACATATTTGAATGATTTTGATTTTTGTTTAGGCTAAACAAAATGGAAGAATCGGCATTTTCTTAGACTTTGTTTGGTATGAACCATTAACAAGATCATTAGCAGACAACTACGCTGCACAGAGAGCAAGAGACTTTCATATCGGATGGTAATTACCCTTTAATATCACCGAAGGATATTGTTGTTAAAATCACAATGCTCAAAGTATATTTGATATTATTTGTGAAATTTATAGGTTTTTGCACCCTCTGGTATATGGAGAATATCCAAGAACCATGCAAAAAATTGTGAGAGAAAGGCTTCCCAAGTTCACCAAGAGTGAAGTGAAGTCTGTCAAAAATTCATTTGATGTTCTTTGTCTCAATCATTATACATCATACTATGTTTACAACCCACGTCTGCCTCCACCCAATGTCACCGGCTACCAACAAGATTGGAATGCTGTGTTTGCTTGTAAGTCACCATCTATTCATTATTCATGATTCAGAGTTAAAGGTTTCAGATCGTAGGAGTAAGGATTAAAACCGAGTAGATTGCAGAGTCTACATTTTATGCAGTCTATTTATCAAATGATTTCCCTTCCATTATATATATTTATCCATTTGTGATTGCAATTAACAGATGAACGCAATGGAATACCAATTGGTCGTCGGGTAATCATATATCAATCATATCATTAATTGAGTCAAACTATTCCTTTTATACAACAATAAGTGTTAATACTAATGTATAAGAATCGCAGGCTCATTCTCCGTGGCTATATGAAGTTCCATGGGGTATGTACAAAGTTGTCACGTACGTCAAAGAACGTTATGGAAACCCTAACATAATTCTCTCCGAGAATGGTGAGATAACAAGTCTAGCGACCCCTAATATAATCTTTTCACTTTGCCCTATTTTTCTCATTTTGTTTTGTTAATTAATCGCAGGGATGGATGACCCTGGCAATCTAACGTTTCCTGAAGCGTTGTATGATGTCAACAGAGTAAATTTCTATAGGAGTTACTTAAAGGAATTGAAAAGAGCCATGGATGACGGGGCCAATGTTAAGGGTTACTTCGCTTGGTCGATGTTTGATAATTTTGAATGGTTATTAGGATATACATCAAGATTTGGGTTGATTTATGTTGATTACAATGATCTCAAGAGATACCCCAAGCTATCAGCATATTGGTTCAAGCAAATGCTTGAAAGAAAGAATCCATAGGATTAGTTAAGATTGTTTCTTAGTGTGGTTTTAAGTCTGTTTAGATCATGCTTTAGGGTTTGATATTTTGTTTTTTAGATCAATTCCCATCTAGAATAAATTGTTTTAGGGTTTTTAGAATAAAATTATTTTGTGAGACAAAGTTAATGAAATAAAAATGTTTTTCAGCAAGATTTACTTCCTTTTCCTATCACGTGTTCTCCTAACTTCTGGGTTAAATAATCTTACTTTGTTTTGTTAATAACTAATTTTTAATTAATTCTAAAGTTAAATTTTTGATAAAATAAATTTATCAAGTTGAGGGGTCGAATTGTGAATTAAGCCTTCAAATTTTACCTATGTTAGTCTCAGCAGAAACTAAATTGTATCATATATTATAGTTTATTTTTAGCTTTTGTTGATTTTAGGTGTCTAATCTTTTCCCCCCCTCAAAGTGAGTACCTAACGCTTTTCAATGTTACCATTTAAAGTGGTTAAAGTTTCATTCCATTACCATTTTAAGGTCATCCTTCAACTAATGATTTCTTGACACGTGCTATTAATTTTTGATTAATTTTATTTTTTTTAAAAATAAAAAACACTAAATTTCTATTAAAAAAATCTTAAAATTTCTAATTTCTCAAAATTCCCTTAATCTCAAAATCCCCTTCAAGATCGAAGATCAGGTGGCGAGCGCACAATCGGAGGTATGAGCGGCTCGGTTTATGTTTTGATGATGGTCTAGCCTAGCTGACAAGTGACAACAATGAATAGGCGATGGTTTTTGTGACGGCTTTTAAGGACGATGTGCTATGACATACAATTTCGGGCGACTACAAAGGGACGATTGACCGGTGGGAGTACTACAATAGAAGGGGTGACCGATGTTGTTTAATTCGGTAATGGCATACAGGATTTAAAGATGAGAGATTATGTATTTGTGGGATCTTTTAGAAAATTGATGATTTTAGTTTAATTTTTTAACATAAAATTTTAAAAATACAAAAATGATAGTACTTGTCGAGCGCTAATTTGATTATTTCATTATCTAATCTATTAAAATATTTATATTTGTGGAGATAGAATACTGGTGATCAGACATTAGACTTAATTTCGGAATCATTCCTTTGATTTTGCTCTTCTAGAAGATTCGATCCAAATTAAGCTGATGAAGAGTTCGCATAGGACCAAGATTGTAGATGAATCTCAAAGAGTAAAAGTAAGGTTATGAAGCAAATAGAGACGAGAAGGAGAGTGAAGAATCAATGAAGAAAGGTGTAGGAAAGAGGAGCAATGCTCCATTTATTTTATTAACAAATCCTGTAATATCTTCAATGATAGACAACCTTAACAGCCTAACACTTTATCTACTCTTAACACTTAATATTATATATATAAAAAAATACATTAGATTTATTCCTAATAAATAGGATGAGACATTAGATCTCTTAAGAAATGTCAGGGTTCAAATCTTAACGTTCGTGAATAGAACAAACTAGGTTAGGAGGATTTCTCTCATCTCTATAATATCTTATCTGAATTAGTTGACTAATAGATCGGATACTGATGATTATACCAAAAAAATTGATACACAACAATCTTAATTTATTGATCCCTGAATTTATATATAATTGTCTATTAACATCAGTCCTATTGAAAATAACATTATCCAGTTTGATTCTCACATATTCTTTTATCAATTCCTTTTAGGTATTACAATAGAAACTTCAATATTGTATTTGGAAAAAAGAATCTTGAACACAAGTGAATGATGGGCTTATCCCATGAACCATAATTAAGGTATCACTTTGGGATGAAGCAACATGTTTGGGCAATGGATTTTGAAAGAGGAATTTTATTTTTAGGGCAAACTACACCCGTGATTACTTAATTATGGAAGAATTCTAATATGATCATTGATCTTTTAGTTTTGGTAATCTAACCGTTTGACTAATTAAATTATGTAAATCAAGGCACCGGATATTAACATTTAATAGAGAGTGATGTGGCAATTAAACAATTTGGTATAATTACACATTTGGCCCATGTCAATTACACATTCTATTGATTTGATCCTAATTTTAATTTAATTTAATAAATATAATTCTCTAATCAAATAAAGACACGGGTCACAATAGATCAAAATAAAATGAAGAAGAATGATAATAAACGGAATAAAATATGGGATCTTGAGGGCAAGTTGGAGCGCCCTAACCATTAGGCTAGATCCCCCGTTTGGCATTATATTATAAAATAAATTACACTGTTCATCACTCAATTATGTTTTCATTTCTATTTTAGTCACTGAATTTTAATTTTTTTTAAATTTGATTACTAAACTTTATAATTATTTCTATTTTAATCTCTCTTTGATGACATGAATTATTTTATTATTACTTTTAATACGATATGACAATTTTATTAATATTTAATATTAAATAAAATAAAAAATAATTAAAATCTAATAATGCACGAGCGAGAACTTTACAAGACTTTGTCTCACAAAATAATTTTATTCTAAAAACCCTAAAACAATTATTCTAGATGAATTGTTCTAGACAACAAAATACCAAACCCTAAAGCATGATCCAAACAAACTTAAAACCACACTAAAAAACAGTCTTAACTAATCCTATGTATTCTTTCTTTCAAGCATTTGTTTGAACCAAGATGCTGATAACTTGGGGTATCTCTTGAGATCATTGTAATCAACATAAATCAACCCAAATCTTGATGTATATCCTAATAACCATTCAAAATTATCAAACATCGACCAAGCGAAGTAACCCTTAACATTGGCTCCGTCATCCATGGCTCTTTTCAATTCCTTTAAGTAACTCCTATAGAAATTTACTCTGTTGATATCATACAACGCTTCAGGAAATGTTAGATTGCCAGGGTCATCCATTCCTGCGCTTAATTAACAAAACAAAATGAGAAAAATAGGGCAAAGTGAAAAGATTATATTAGGGGTCGCTAGATTTGTTATCTCACCATTCTCGGAGAGAATTATGTTAGGGTTTCCATAACGTTCTTTGACGTACGTGACAACTTTGTACATACCCCATGGAACTTCATATAGCCACGGAGAATGAGCCTGCGATTCTTATGCATTAGTATTAACACTTATTGTCGTATAAAAGTAATAGTTTGACATAATTAATGATATGATTGATATAATAATTACCCGGCGACCAATTGGCATTCCATTGCGTTTATCTGTTAATTGCAAACAAAAGTTGATAAATATATATCATGGAAGGGAAATCATTTAATACACAATCTTACGTAAAATTTAGAGTCCACAATCTACTCGATTTTAATCTTAAATCCTACAATCTAAAACCGTAAACTCTTAATCATGAATCATGAATGGATGGTGACTTACATTCAAACACAGCATTCCAATCTTGTTGATAGCCGGTGACATTGGCTGGAGGCAGACGTAGGTTGTAAACATAGTATGATGTATAATGATTGAGACAAAGAACATCAAATGAATTTTTTACTGACTTCACTTCACTCTTGGTGAACTTGGGAAGCCTTTCTCTCACAATTTTTTGCATGGTTCTTGGATATTCTCCATATACCAGAGGGTGCAAAAACCTATAAATTTCATAAATAATATCAAATATACTTTGAGCATTGTGCTTTTAACAACAATATCCTTTGGTGATATTAAAGGGTAATTACCATCCGATATGAAAGTCTCTTGCTCTTTGTGCAGCGTAGTTGTCTGCTAATGATCTTGTTAAAGGTTCATACCAAACAAAGTCTAAGAAAATGCCGATTCTTCCATTTTGTTTAGCCTAAACAAAGATCCAAATCATTCAATTAAGTATATATAAATACACAGAATAAAAATCAAAATGATTATTACTTGATATTTTTTACGATATCTTTTAACAGCTTCAGCGTGACTCAAAATCAAGTGATGTGCAACAATATAAGGTTCAGTGGCAGAGCTTCCATGAGTGCAATTCCCGAATTGCTTTGAACATCTGTTAGGAGGGTTGACGCCATTGTCGAAACCAAGAGCAACAACCACTCTTGGTTCATTGAATGTCATCCAATTCTTTTACTCTATCACCAAATCTCTTGAAACAAAACTCTGCATAATCACCAAAGTCTTTCCTGCAAACAAATTAAGGGTTTACGATATAGGGTTTAGAGTTCTTTTTCATTGAAAAAATGTTGTTTGTATTTGAACTTACACAACTTGTCTGTTGAGCAAACCTCCATATCTTTCCTGAAGGGCAAGTGGCAAGTCGTAGTGATACAAATTTGCATGGGGAATGATTCCTGCAGTGATTCCACACAACTCATGTATGTATTTCTCATAGTTTACAATAGCGTAGTAAATTAAGATATGTACCTTTTTCTATCATATAGTCAATCAATCTATTATAGTAGTCAACTCCTTTCCAATTTACTTCTCCTGTTCCATCTACACCCCAAATGATGGATCAAATGTATATGATAATCATTTTCAATTGTTGATATAATAAGAGTAGATAGTTTATATACTTGGAAAAATTCTTGACCATGAGATCGAAAACCGGTACGCGTCGAAATTCAACATCTGCATCAGATCAACATCTTCCTGCAAACAAGAAGAACTCAAGAATAGTATTAAGATTAGAAATTCAAGGTTTTAAGGTCTAGGACCGATTATACCTTATAACGATGATACTGATCGATAGAAGTTTCACCGGTATCATTGTTCGCAATGTGTCCTATTTCATGTGATATCACCTCATTTAGCGTTAGTATTTAAACTCATAGCTAAACAGAGTAACAAATTTCACAAATTAAAGGAAAAGAAATGAAATGAATTGATGTTAATTTTTAACCTGGAATTTTAACAAATGCATCCCATATGCTAGGCCCTCTACCATCTTGGCTCGCCATTCCTTCCACCTGATACGCCGATGCCGCTGTTCCGAACACAAAGCCATCGGGAAAACTATCCCTACTCAACCCTCCGGTGTCAAAGTGTTGTTGTTCATTGGCATTGGCATTTGCATTTCCATGCAAAGCTATGCCTAAAGAGTGAAAATTAGTGAAATAACTAACATCTTCAAACAGCTTAACCTTTGGTTTTTTAATGAATATAAACCCTTTGTTCTCAACACGTATTTATAGATGTGAAGGATGAGGATTCTAATATCAAATAATTTTTCTTAATGAAAATAAAGTAAAAATAACCATAATATTAACTAAGTGAATCAAAATAAAAATAGAATTTGATCAAGTCAATCAATTACCAAATGAAATTTTATAGTATTAGAATAATCTTTATTTTTGACGGATTAATAGTTTGATTTGTTCTCAACTTAAAAGGTGGTTGGACCGTTCAGACCATTGGCTTATAGATTAATAGGTCCAAATGTCCATTCTTCTTAACCAGATCGAGTGAAGTTGTAACATCATCTGTCATACTTGATTGAAAATAAACAAAACAGAAATTAAAATTTTAACAGTCTAAAATAAACAAAACACAGTGAGCAATCAAATAATTCAACCAACATTCATTGATTTTATATTGTCATATTCAATATCAACTGGTATTCATTTATGGCATATGCTCGTGAGTCACATGTGTTCAAGATATTTTCATTATAATATTAAATTCCACGTACAATATCTACATGGTACAGGGAAAAGATTATCATTGGGATATAACTTTTCAATGAGCCTTTGCATTAAGTTTCTTTTTCTTGTACGATTGATTCATTAGTCACTCTAATATACAACTAGTACTAATATTTTTGGAGTACTTTTTTTTTTTTTAGTAAAACAATACTTTTTATAACAATGAATAACATTGTTGGTCTGGTGCAATGAGACACTAAATCCCTTAAGCAAGGTCAGGGGTTCGAATCCTAACGTTTGCGAAGGGAGCAAACTGGGTTGGGAGGGATGCCCTCGCCTTTGTCGTACCCAAACTGGATTAGTCTATCAATAGATCAGATACCAGTGATTAATTAAAAAAATAGGTTTATTATCTATTTTAGTTCATGTATTGTAGTAAAATTATCTCTTTGTTAATTATACTATTTTTAGACATTTTAATGTCTCTATTTTTATTTTATCTATCACTTTAATCTCTCGTTGCAGTCGTTCAAAAAATTATTTTGATCCAATAAGATATTATCACGTGTCAAAATAATTTTTAAACATTATGAGTTTAAATTTTTTTTAAAAAATCTAAAGAAAAAATCTAAAATTTCTTAAAATATCAATAAATTTTAAGAAATTTAAATCTGGAAAATTATATTTTTTTTGGATTTTTAATTATTTTTAGTTACTTCTAAAATATAAAATTCATATGATAATTAAAAAACGGGTAAACTAAACATTTAGTACTTCAATTATCATTTTTATTCGTTTTGGTCATCTAACTTTTTTTCATAATCTTATGTAACATTACGTTTTGGTTTTATTTTGGTCACTTACCGTTAAAAAATTAATAGAACTGTTAATGTGGTATTTTTATTTTTTCAATGATGATATGACATTACCTTATGGTGATACATCATCATCACCGTTAATTTTTTAACGACGGGTGACCAAAATGAAACCAAAACTAAACGTTAGGTATGATTTTTAAAAAAATAGTTAGATGACTAAAATGAACCAAAAGTAATAGTGAAAATACTAAACATGTATTTTAATCTTAAAATATATAAAAATTGAGAGGGTGAAAGAAGTCAGCATCAACCTTCCATCATGTTTGAAACGTCATGTTGGTGTTGTCATCAAAATGATCATTGAAGAAGAGCTTCCTTTTATTATTTAACCTTTTCCACACAATTTCCAACAACATTCTCCTCCCCTTCCTCACATATGAATTTCTAAAATTTGAGGAAGTGACGATTTATAAAATTTTAGATGATAAAAATAAATTTTTAATAAAAAATTTATAAAAAAATAAAAAAAATACGATAATTTTAATTTTTAAGAAATAAATGTCGTCACCCACTCTCCTCATTCCATCCCTATCTTCTTTCTTTCCTTTTCTTAAAAGGCTGCTTACAGTCTTATCTCTTATGCCCCCTATTTCATCTCCATCTTCACATATACACATCTATATATACACACACATTACCCAAACTAGGAGAAAAGCAACCCAAAAAAAAAGTGGGTTTTAACTCTTTTGTTGTTTTGTTCTAGCTTATAGACAATTATAAACCCTGACGGATGCATGTTTAATTCAGTGTAGGTAAGTGTGTTTTCTGAAATTTGAATTTTCTACCATTAGCTATTCATTTTATTGATTATGTTTTCGTATATAAATTATAATCAAAAGGTGATTAAAGATGTCTATAAGTAAACCGACCCTCAAAACTATCTCTCGATCTGGTATTGCATGGCGTGATCAAACACCGTCGAGCAACAGAAGAAGGGTGATAGAAGAGCTTGTTGAAGGGCAACAATGTGCTGCTAAGCTTCAAACAATTGTTAATCAAAAGCACTGTCAACAAGGCTCATCGGCTGAGGAACTTGTGCACAGGATCTTGAGATCGTTAGATCAAATAATTTCGATGCTGATCGTGGATGTTGCCGGTTCTCAGAACAGGGATGATTGCCAGTCTCAAGATTCTAGTGAGAGCAGCAAGGTTCCTGCTGCAGTTTCTAAGGAAGGAAGAGGCTGTTATAAGAGAAAGTAAGCTTCTTTTATGGTCAAATTATGGTTTTGGTACTTTTAGTATGCTTAAAGGTCATTATACTAAGCAAAAATAATATTTTTCGTCACTGATGTTTCAAACATTACAAAATGGTCATTAAATTTATTTAATTGTTACAAAATAGTCCTTACATGCTGTAAAATAATAATAAAGTTTGATAAGTATAAGGATCATTTTGTAATAGTTTGATAAGTTTTAATGACCATTTTGTAATAGTTTGGTAAAGTTTAGTGATCATTTTATAACTTTTAAAACTTCAATGATCAAGTGTACTTTACCTTTTAATTTAACATAGCTTCTTGATCTTTATATTGCCACATGAAATAATTAAAGATCGACTATTTGGGCTAACTAATGACATTATAAAAGTATATAGATTAAATTATGTAAAATTAAAGTATAGAGATTTAATCTTAAATTTGATCATAGTAAAGGGACTAAAACTATAATTTTCCCATTCATCTCCCTTATAGCCAAAGTAAATTATTGAATGTTCTTACAGAGATTTCTGGTAATAACAGGATGTTTTTGTTTGCAGGAGGGGTGCTGATACATGGAGAATTGTTTCTGATAAAATGGAAGATGGTCATGCATGGAGGAAATATGGACAAAAAAGTATCCTTAATTGTAAACATCCAAGGTATTCAGACAAAAATTAAAAGACGATATTTTTCAATTTGATCACTAAATTTAAAATTTTAATTATTTTAATGATATGAACTATGAAATTCGATATAAGAGTGACACATCATCAAAATAACTATATATAGAAAAATTGAAACTAATGATTTACTTCGTTTACCGTCGACAGGAGTTACTTCAGATGCACGCACAAGTCCGACCAAGGTTGCCGGGCTGTGAAACAAGTCCAACAAATGGAGGATGGTTCTCTAATGTATCACATCACTTATATTGACACCCACACTTGCATAGATTCATCCCCTCATGGTACGATCCCTTCAAACAACTCCGAAATCCCATTCGAGAAACATCATTCGAGCACATTCAATGACTCGAATCCGACATTAAAGCGTGAATCCGAGAAAGAGATGACACCGAGTTATGCTACACAGTTGGATTCTATGACAATGTGGGAGGATGTAACAGTAGGTGGTTTTGGATCCGGGTGTGGAGATGTTGTTTCCAACATGTATTCTTGCAATGAAATCAGTTGTCTGAATTTGGAACTTAGAGGGCTTGACGATGGTTTTGAATTTGATGATTGTGAGTTTGTGTAATAAACTCTTGGCTTATTGTAAAGTTAATATCGTCAATAATCAAAATTCTCTTTCGATAAATGATTATTAATATTTGAGAACAATTCTCTATCCCTGGATAAGGGGACTAGAACTCTCTTTTCTTCTATCATCCTTATACTACTCATCATCTTGAGCATATTATTCTATAAAAATTATCAACTACGATTCTCTATCCAAATCAGAAGAGATGAATCATCTATTATCTCATGATCTACATTTTATCATCAACAAAACATGCGGAGTGTTTGAGAACAAAGAACAAGACGGATGGGACGGTATCCAACCTCTCGAAGAGCCGAAGCCATCTCTAGCCTTGGCAAAAATTCAGGAAGCTCAGAAGCATCCCGCATCACAGCTTAAACCGAGTGGAGCAGTCGACGATGATGATCCCTGGGAAACCACTGCAGCTCCTCAGACAACCAAGGCAAAGCCGATGACATCCGGAAGGGGGCCAGGAGAGGAACTTAACCGGCTGCTCCCAAACTATTGTCCATATTATAAAGTATTCCCTAGTTTCAAATTATTCTAATGGTTTCCTTCAAAAACCAATATCATTTTAATTAGATACTTTCATTAGGCTAACAGCCAATGCATGGCATCCACGGGATGAGGATGCATGGAAAGACATAGCCCATGTTTGGGGCTATGCATGTAACCCCTAAGCCATGCATGGCAACTCCATATCCCCAATATCCAAAAGTTCATTTTCATACAATATTGGTTATTAACTGATAATCAAACTAAAATCTGTATAGCAGATTAAATAAACAAAAGAGTTATTAACTGTTAGTGTCTGTTTAAAATCACCCTAAAAGCCTAGTTTATGATGAACAAAGTCCATCATTGGTTTTGTCCCTCCAGATTACCCAAAAGAGGTAAGCAAAACTGTGTGTCTACAACTTTGTGATAGCGCAAACGGAGGTACCACTCTCATACGTCAATTGTTCCTTCAATCGACCTGCGGTTGCAGTCTCCGGTGAATGTTTGTTCACATAGATAGTAAAGGAGGGAAGTCTTTATTGTCTTGCAGCTGGAAAGGTTCCCTGCAGTATACCAGGTCAGCAGTTAGGACATGAAAAATAAAAATTGACGACTGCCTCGAATTTTCTATGACGTGTTTACCTTTTAAGCTCGCAAAACTCCTTTTGCTTCTGCTTTTCGATCGAAGGCATGCATAACCCGGGTTCAGTCAGCAGAGGTGGTGGTGAATGCATACCTGTTGGGGATGGACACTCATAAGCACCGAATTTAATGACGGAGCATTGAGAGCCATTCTCAAGCTCTGGACTCTTTGGTGCAGGCAGACTAGATTGACAGTTTTTTGTGGCCCTTTTGGTAGATGGAAGAAGAGGGAATTGTTCTGTTGAAAGGTCAAGACCATGACAGTTGCCATTTCCACAATCATTTTCAATGAGGTCAGTTTCTTTCGGGGAGTTCTGCAAAGAATCTGGAGCATAAGACTCGTGATTCCGAGCGCTTATACATGCTTGCATCTCTCTATAAGACTGATGGGTCTGCAATAAATGTTCGACCAATATTAGTTTCAGTTTGGGCCATTAACTTATTAGCAAACAAGATCTAGTGTTGAAACTAACGTACCATGTCGGGGATGTATGTGCCGGTTCCTCTCGACTTTGTCATATTTTCAATACCATATGCAGCAGCTGGTAACCGGAGAGCACTAGGATGAGAGAATGGTTGTCTCGGGATAAAAACATTCGTCCCCTTACGATAAGAGATGTTACGTTTGCACCTAACAAGACGTCGTAGGGCATCCCATGCACTGTGCTTTTGTGTCTGAGAAGATGATGATACAGTGGTTGTTGGCTGCACAGGAACATTCACGGCATAGTAATGATACCATTGACTATATAGCAGACCGTTACAATAACCGTCATAGTCACCACTCAGATCAGAAACTTCAGATTTGCCAGTGCCAAAGGCATGCACCGGAATTTGTACATCTGGCCTCTGTCCCCTTCCATTCCGATCCAAAGTATTAACAAAGAACTTTTCGAGTCCCACACCCATGTTCTCACCGGGTAGCATCAGGATTTCACCGAGCCTCTGTGCCCCATAGGTAAGAGCACATCGAATTCGGTGGAAATTACCTGCAGGGGAATACATGTTTGCTTAATATTTTTTATTAAAAGACTACCAAAACACCGCTCATTTTTTCGAAATAAATCATTATACCTTTGCTAACGCTTCGGCCTAGATTGTTGTTTACTTTCAAAGGATCCACAATGTTCATATACTTGACAGGGAAAACATTGGCCCCGATCTCATTGGATTGCATTGGCACGAAATACGTTTCTCTGCAATAACTCAAAAAGTCCCGACTAAGCAGTAGTTCATCCACATCGGTTTCAGGAGTCTCAGCTGCAAAATTAAAACAATGTTAGATTATAACTGAACCGATTAGATTTACATGAACCGAGAATAATGAACTAGTTAGTCCTCACCGAAAACTGCTGGAAGGGAGGATATGGAAACTGGACCGGTTATAGTGATGCAGTAATTTGCCCAATCAAATGTGCTGTAGTAGTCTAAAAACTTGTAAAGGACCTGTAAACAAACGTAAAAGGTCTAGTTGTTCAAATTCCTGAAGATGATATGGGAAAATGCTAGAGAATAACTCACAGCGAGTGGACCGCATAATGACGAATGAAAGACATTAATGATATACAAGATCATTGTTTCTAATGCATATGTAGAAATCAAGCCATGGTGTGCGCCAAGAGTTCGGCTCTCATAATAGCACCAGGCCTTGATCAAGATGATACTGCATTTGAAAAGATGATCTTTTCCGATAAGTTGGTCAACCTGAAAATGAAACAGTTAAAAAGAAGTCACAGGTGAAATAAACTTGTCGCCCTCGACATTGCTACAGGATTTACTCAAGGGTGCAGAAAAAGAAGGTAAATTCAAGCAAGTAAGTGAGAAAAAGTAAAATGGAGGATTTTATACGAAATATGATGCAGGACTAATATATTAAGAAACTCTAAACCCACTTTTATTTTTTACTTCTGTCTTCTGCATCGAGTCCATTATATGAATTTGGATTATCTCGTTCAGGACAACTGAGCTGAGTTTACAAAACTAGAGTTTAAATTAACTTCACAGGTGTAATTGTCCAATCTTACATCAGTTGGAAACGATTTCAAAACATCGCAACTTTAGATAGAAATAGACGATACCTTCTCGAGAAAACATAGTGCGGATAGACCAGCCATTTGATTGAAGGAGATGTCCACAGGTATATCATTGACAGTACATTTCACTATCTTAACCTGACACAAAAAATTCCAACAGCAACAAAAAACAGGAATCAACACCAGGTGATTTGAGGAACAACATGTATCAATATCAATATGTTATAAACAATATATCACTATCCTAGTATTATAATTTTTCTATCGGCATCGTATCACCAAAAGTGGTCGATGTCATGCATCTGCGAGAATCGCTGTCATGTAGTGTTATCCCACATAAGTTCATACGCATAAAAGGATATTAAGCACCTAACTGTACGCTCTAGGTACATTAAGTAGAAGATACTACCTGAGTTTAGATACAAAGCATGGGTTGGTCTCTTGTCTACTTACTCATCTATGATGAACAATCCTACATATATCCGGGTTCATTTTTTCATGGAACCGGATATGTTGAGTCTAGTAATCTTTCAAATTTGAAAGATTGGAGAAATGAAAATGGCGATGTCAACTTAACATCAAGGGACAACAATGAATATTGTTAAGTAGCAAATTCGACAAAAAATGCAGATTATCAAAGAGCAAGTTTTACTAAATCTTTATTTGAATTATTAAATATCACTAAAAACAATATATATATATATATATATATATATAGAGAGAGAGAGAGAGAGAGAGAGAATCGATAAGAAAGAACTAAACCTGAGCACGTATATATTGAACATCCTGCACTACAAAATCAGGGTTATGCTGGTTATCTTGTAAGATACAACAGATATATGTTGCCAAATTTTCCTCCATATTTTGATGACTAAGAGCAGTCAAATCGATATCTCCATCAGGAAGGAAGGTTTTCAAGGGAACTGAGCCAAATGGGAACACCTGAAAAGCGAGTAGGAAGGTAAAAGAACTGCACTAGAATGAAAAACTGTAAATATATAACAAACTACAATTTGTTCTTCTCCAATGATTATTTTCCTTTGAATCCGTAAAAAAATTGTGATAAATTGAGGTACAATTGAAAACATATATGCACTAAGACGCAGCTCAATCTATCAAAAGCGAGACTTATCTTTCCGCTACTAAGTTATACTAGTTATGACTTTTATTTTCTTTCTGTCCTATCTTTAGTGCGAATTATACCGTTGTAAACAAAAACTTGTACATTTTTATTTCTTTAGTGCAAGTTTACTTCACCAAAAGCAAGTGATATTAAAAGGAGTAAGGCAGCCTATTAGGTTTGAGAACTGATGCCAAACTGCATCAAAACTTAAGGAAACAATTAGTTATATGACTAGATAAAATCCGACACGGCCACACTCTTTGGAGCCGAGCACTTGAATCCAAAGCTACACGAGCTACCTTTCTCTCATAAAGTAATCAATCGCCAAGCTATGTCCAACCATCACTAGCAGACCATAAGATACATGCTAAACTGCATTAAGAAGCTACTCAAATCTAACTCGAAAAGACTTAAAACGAAATCGATCTTAATTCATCACACTTCTAAACAATCACTGAGATTTGGGGTTTCAGTTTTAGTCTTTAACAACACCAAACAAGGAACGTTAGTCAGATACAAAGCAAAATTTACTCATTAAATGGTTTCACAGCCAAAGGAAACCCCATTCCTGCTAAACATTAAAAGGGATACAACATATACCAAGCAACAAACATAGATTATAAAACCCTTCCAGTGATCTATCAAATTAGAACAATTTTCCTAAGAATTCAAACAGGCACTTGAAAAACAAGAACCAACATTTGCTAGAACTTGTCCAAATTTTACTCTCTAAGGCTTAAAAATCCGAGGAAATTGAGTTTACCTCACTGCCATAGTAACCTTTGATTAGCCTCTGAAAGTAAGCAATGATACTTTTTCGATTTTCTTCAGAACCCAAAGCAGGTTGAATGACACAAAGAATCTCTTGGGTTCTTTGCTCAGCCAAAAGCCAGAGTTCATCATCAATTGACAATGGACGTGGGCTGTTAGATGAAGAAGATGATGAAGAAGAAGAAGAAGACAAAGATAGAGAAGAAGAAGAAGGTGATGATGGGTGAGGAACAGGCGATGAAGAGGAAGTAGATGACAGAGACAAAGAGGAAGAAGGTGACAGACACTCCTGAAAACAATCCATTCTCAAAATAAAGAAATCAACTTTCTCTCAAAACAACATGAAAACATCCACCATTGGAACCAAAATCTGCAAATCTTTGCAATTTTAGAGAAGAATCAAAAGGGAAAAACAAGAAACCGATGGCATGGAGTTTTGTGACATGGGGAGACAAATGAAGGGTAGAAGCAAGACATGTTATTTCCGTTCAAATGAGCAAAAAGGGCATTAAGAAGTGTTGACAAAGTAGAGCAGCACCATGTGCATAGATGGCAGAAAGATGAAACAGGAAGAAAGAGAAAAAAAACAGCATCAGTTGTGTTTGAAACATATGTTGCAAAGCGGTTTTGACATCTAGTGTGACCACACCCTGAAAACCTCTTTTGTCCTCTTCATAAAGCACTCTGGAAAACACGAAAGGGGTTATACAAAATCAAAATTTGTGGCGTAACTGCAATTTCATGCATAATTTTGGGACCAGTTTGGCCAAATGAAAATATTCTACCTTTTGCGTAAAATAAGACATTGGAGAAAAATAAGGAAATTTATCCACTACACAATCAAAGTTTTTAAATTTCAAATTGAAGTTCGTAAATTGATATATATACACATATATAAAACACTATAATGGAAGCATTCTTCGCCTTTGGTTGGGATTTTAGTCATATTTCTAAGTGATCCTATGGGAAGTTTCTCCTTTTTCGATAGGAACATGGATATAAAGATCCGATCTTTTCAATACATTCTATAAAAACTTCAAAAAGAAAACATATCCTTATCCAATACTCAAATTTAAGTCAGGGTAATAAAGAGAAATTGTTACAATATTTTCATCACAGTTAGTAAATTGATGCATAACCTCATTAGTATGTGCTTATACAAGTTAACAAAATCAAATTATTAGATGGACATATGAAAAATTCAAAAATTAAATAATTGGGAAGTCAACAAAACTAGGTTCTTCCACAAAAGAGAAAGTTTGGTCAAGACTCTTCAAATATGGAAATAAATAGCAAAAAATCTCACCATTAAAGGAAGCTCCAAAAAGGGATCAGTAGTGGAGAAAAACTAGGGGGTAGAACAAATGGTAAATACAGCTAGCAGTTTATAGCACACTTATTATTCAATGGAAAGGGTCCAAAACCATATGAATTTGTTCCAAATTGCAGAGTTTATCTTGGCAAAATTATATTTTTCTTCAGTAATGAGGCCAAAACAGGGAATTGGTCAAACAGGTAGAAAGATCATAATAGTGCCATATAGGGATCAAAGTAATAGCCAGTATTAATTACAAAATTAAATTCTTGACTATTCTTCATTTTAGCCCCTAGTTATATAATTAAGTCAAACACAATGGTTACCTATAAGTGTGGTATACCCTCTTTTTATTACCAATATCACAATGGACTGCATTGATTTCCACGGGATTCCGTACTATATTATCCTGCCTAGTAATCACACTATTGGTCTTATTTGTGCAAACTTACGGAAAATAGATTCCTAAATCTCAAAAATATTTTCTCGGATTCGTAACTTAAAAAAAACGTAATACGTTTGACAAGACTATTCAGAAAAAAAGGGAATGTTGCGTCTTAAGGATGTGTATGTGTTGACAAAGGTTAAAAAAAATTATGAACAAATACTACCTTTTAATCGCCCAAACTATTAAAAATATATGCCTGGCAAGACTCTTATGTATGCTTGATTGAAAAATCAAATGTAGGTGTTCGAATGGACATAATGGTATGCCAAATGGACAAAGCCTAATACTATGTCATTCACATAAATATGATACGATTTTGATTTCAAATCTATTAAATGTCGTCTCTTAAAAATAACGCTAAGGATCGATTGATCCAAGTTCCGGTACCGAAGGTGCATGTCATTTCCTTATTCTTACGTTTCCACATCCCTACCCACATAGTATATGTACTAGATCTATCCTAATACCAATTCCATGAGATAAACGTTGAATCTTTCATCATACACCATAAGCAATCAAAGCAATGGTGAAACTGCAAATGACACAATCAAAAATCAAGGGGACATCTTTTTTGTTTCAGGTGAAAGGTATGTAAATGTGAAACCAGAGTGCATCTTCAACCTAACTAATTCACACTACTTCGAAGAAAAACATCAAGTTTCAGTTTTGACAGCAATCTAATAAGACAAGTCTCAAAGTTGTTAATCAATACCTCAAGAAAGTTATCAAATTGGTTCTTGCTTTCTTTCTTCTGGTTTGCTTCATGGGAAACTGCTTGAACACTGTTTCTCCGTTTACTGCACTGGACCCAGGCAAGAAGAAGAAGAAGCCACAAAAGGATAAACTTTGATTCTTTGTCTCAAGCTAAGACAAAAACACAGATGATGATGATGCTACAGTCAATAAATCTATCTATCAACAAACAGCAAACCCTAACCCTTTCCAAAAACAGAAATGGAAATGAACCAACACCTAACATGCCTCCCTATATTGGGAGGGTGATGACATGGCATTCTCCCATGGGAACAAATGAAAGAAACTTCCACGTGTTTTGCATATGTATCTAAACAGTAGAACCCAGGCAAGATCTTCGAAGCCCAACATTGTTCCCCTGCAACAACTTTTTGTCTTAAGGGTAAATAATTTCATTTTTTCTTGGTCAAGTTTCGAATTTTAATCTTGTAAATGAAGGAACTAATCGTTAGAAGAGGTTTTTTTTCTATTCGAGTTCAATTCAATGTAGTTTTAATTATCAGATATCGGAAATCTTTACAGTAGTACATCCTTCGAAGTAGTTCCGTCTTACTTAGCTACCGGAAACCAAAAATCTTAAAAGAAAAGAAAATAAAGTTGGTGTAGCTAAGGCATAGTGCTTAGGCAAGCAAGAGCTTTAAGCAGGATGATGATCTGTTAACTTGGTTCACTGAAAATTTTCGATAATGATTGTAGAAAATGAGAAATTCCCCCCTCCCTGAAAACCAGCAGCAGGTTATGCTGCAACAGACAGTCTCCGATGCAATCAAATTTCCATGGCAGGTGAATTCATCGGATTTCTGAACAGACATCTATCGGTACTGAAGCTCCAAACCCCGGGAGCATTCTACAGAACTAATGTGTTACCGATGAGAATCAAGCATGTAGGATACAGATGCCAGCAACGTTCAAATTTGAGATGAACCGTAAATTTTTTGTAGCACTTTATTATATCTCAATAGGCAAGTGCTGTTCAAGTATAGAGAAACAGAGACTGAATAGAAAATTACGAGATTCCAACTAGTTATCTCAACAATTTATAGCTTAACAAGTCAAGTTTTTAACCAGTCAAAACCTCCCTACACAACTCCAAGTCTACAAACTCAAGTACATATTTTAAAGAAAAACACAGAATTGAAATCGATCCAAAACTTGAAGAGCCTTAAGCACGAGGAGGAACAGCAACACCTGGACGTGGGGCCTGACCAGGCTGCCCAGGCTTTGGCATATCATCCTGATAAAATAAAGATTATATTTTAATGAAGCTATTGAATGGAAAGGAAGCATTTCAGCAACAATAAAAACAAATAAACACAAACAAATAGAAGCAAACCTCTAAGAAACCCAAAGGAATAATAACATTCAAGTCAGTCATTTTCCACCTTATAATGATCAGCAAGCCACACAAAAAGGCAGCTGACAAAGTGAGAGATGGATATTACATATAAGGAACCGGTGTATCCCTAAAGAACTTAAAATTTCAGCTGCAGGGACAATATATGCGGTCCCTAGAAAAGTGACTCTCTAGGTTACAGCTGTAACTGAAGTCTACTCTCTGGATGGCCTCCACAGTCCACATCACTTACATTCAAGTTCTAAGGCATCTCCCACCCATAATGCTCAATAAGCCACCAAAAATGCAACTAATAGATTTATATTGTTGTTGAACATGAGGGACTTGTTCATCCTTCAAGCACTAAAAAAACCTGGAGAATTGGCTAGCATAAGTTCCTAATGAATTGCATCCTATAAAATAAGTCTAGAGAATTATTCAAATGATGGCCATAGAGCAAAACAAGCAAAATGTTCACAGTACTACCGCACCTATGAAGGACTCCCATATATCAGTTTTATTAGATTCAAGGCATTTTTCACTCCCATAATAATCAAAACAAACCACCAAAGGGGGCATCTAACAATATGATTCGGATAGCTATTAGGAACTAGTGCATCGATATAACAGAAAACTTCTGCCTATGGAGCAAACCTGAAGAATTGCCAAAGTACCCTTCTATCATTCTATACAACATTGATCAATAAATCTACAAAGGATTTCAGTAATTCAAATTCCATCTACAGCCCTACACTACATGATAACAAAAGCATACCTTTAAATGAGACATTTTCAAAGCTTTTATCATCCAATACAAGGAAATGATGTACAATCAAAGCAAGCTAGAGGAACTATTATTCACATCAAAATAGATCCCTGACAGTAACAAGCATCAAATCATAGGTTATAAAAGGGCATACCCTGCGTCTGATGAAGCGCTGGGGTGGATCACGGTTCCTCCTGTCGGTGCGGGATCGAACCCTGACAACATGAGAATGGATGGCACATGAAACACAATATTGCATCTTCACATACAGCTTCGGCAGGGTGTAGGCTACATAAAAACAACCAATCAATCATCAATCCAACTACACGCAATAGTATTAGAAACTAAGCTAAGCATATAATTGAGAAACTAAATGGAAATTACAGTCATAGACGCAGGCTTCCTGGACATCTCTGACAGCAGCTTGCTCCACAATGTTCCTCACAAGAAACCTCTTGATTGACTTATCCTATTACATTCCCCAAAAAAATCAATAGAAAACAAAAATGTAGAAAAACCCAGGGACCCAGATGCGAATATTATGTGTTAATTACCTTGGGACAGCATTTCCCACAGTTAGAGCAGCGGATGAACTTGACGTGGCCACGGCCGTGCTTATTGCGACCACCATTCCTACGCTTGAAAGTCTAAATACAAAAAGAACCGCAATCAGAGAGATCAAATTTTAAAAAAAAATATTAAACATTGAAGTGAACACAAATGCAGAACAATACAGATGAAACGAAATCTAACCATGGTTTGAGATTTAAGCGTAGGCTCTTTGCTTCTGCCGGCTGCCGAAAGTTAGGTTTTTTTTGACAAAAATGATGCCTTTATAGGCGAGTATAGTGATGAAGCTTGAAGCCCTAAACTTTTATTTAGACCTTTGTACTTTTTTATTTTCAAATGTGCCCCCAAAAGTTTGAATGAATTTAATTCTAAACCATTCGAGTTTTTTTTATTGGATATAAGTACAAGTATAACCATAATCTACATGTACTTGAGAATCGATAAGTACAAAGATAATCTAAATCAACGTAATAAGTCATAGTTGAATGTAAATTGAAGCTATACATAATCTACATACTTGAAAAATGACACGATAGCTTTTATTTTTTTCAACGATTAAATTGTATTATCTTACGATAACACATCAGTATTACTATAATTTTTTCAATGACATATGTCGTAACCGGTTTTCGTCTGGGCACGAATTTTTTCTTGACGTAAAAAAAATAAATAAAATAAATAAATGATTTTAAAAATTATTTTTAGAGTCGTCATTGACATTTTTGGGTTAGGTAGGTCAAATATCTAAAAATAATCTTTTAAAATAGTTTTGAATAAAACATAATTTAAAAGATAAAATTGATCTGCGTATAACCAAAAATTTTAGTAAAATAGGATTCGTGGTCAATTACGTTTAGGGAAGGATTAGCACCCCTATAACGCCCAAAATTTGGTACTCATTAATTATAAATTGTCTTTATTATCTGAAATTTAAAAATTCAAAGATATATTTATTTTATAATATTGTTATTTCAAATTTATAATTTTATGAAAATATATTAATTTAAATATAAATAAGATATTTATCTATTTAGAAATATCAGAAAATGACTTCTAGGTGCTTTAAGACAGTTCTTTTCTTTGATATTAAAAAATAAATAAATATTAATAAAATATTTAACAATTAATATATATTTTATAAGATAAAAATGTCAGAAAACGAACTTCTAAATGTTTTAAGACAACCCTTTTCTTTAATTAAAATAAAAATAATTTATATAAAGGATTTAATAAAATAAAATAAATAAATATTTATAATAATAATAATATTTTAAATATATTGATAATAATCGTATAAAATTTAAACAATAACTATAATAAATGAAAGTAAAAATAATAAAAACTAATAATTTAAAGTTAATGATTAAATTAGAATATATTAAAATTAAATATCTAATTTACAATTAATTTATTTAAAATTACAGGGATTAAACATGCTATTTTTCATTTATTTAATTTAGGGACTAAAATAAAATTATATTAAATTCGAATATCAAATTAAAATAAATTAAAACCTGTTATTCGGGGTTAAAATATTAATTATTAAAATCAAATGACTAAATTTGTCATTTACCTAAAATATATATTGTTTTATGTAAAGGGCTAAAATGAATATATATAAAATTCGAATACTGAATTAAGAAGATCTAAAATTTACTTTAGTGACTAAAATGTAAGATTACAGAACTGTGATGGCAGCGGGTACAGTTTTACCTAAAAAAATTACATAATTACGCATATACCCCTCCCCAAAACGATGCCGTTCGGGGAGGGGTATTTAAACCCAAGACCGAACGGCCTTAAGGCCAAAGCCTTCATTTCCTTCTCTCTCATTCTCTCTCTAAATTGAGAGAATAAATTCCTCTATCGCTTCTCTCTAAAACAGAGAGATATGACACCGGTCGGCAGCCGTCTGCCACCACATCCGGTGGCTGGAAAATTTTATTTTACACCAAAATGTAGATCGGACCGTCCTAATGACGGTTCCGGTGACCGTTTTTCTTAAAAAGCTCCCGATCGGAGCAAATCTATGAAAATACCTTCGGGTTTCGAAGGCCTTTGGTGATGCTTGGAGGCTCGTGTGAACTCCGGTGATGGCGGGGCTTCCTCGGTAAGTATTCCTCATATTTTCCTTGCTATTTTGGTGTTTTATGGTTGCTAGGTTGCTCATTCCTTCTCTGTTTTTTCTTTGCAGGTTCGGTTGATGGCTTTATAGCCGTCACCGGCGCTCATCTTGGACCGGATAATAGAGTGGCAGTTTGGTGAGTCACCAAACTTTAGTGGTGACTCACAGTGGCCTTTAACGTGGACGGCTGGTTTTGAATCTTCTGGAGGCTCTCGGCAGGCATCGTGGCAATATATGAAGCGGAGTAGAGCGGCGGCAACAGAGGCGACGGCCACGTCTCCCTAGGGTATCATAACCCTAGGGTTTCAGCTGGAGGCTTCTGGACCGTTGGATGGAGCTGAGATCAAACCCTAATTAGTTTAGGGTTTCTATTGGGCTAGCTCAGTTGGGCCAGAACTGGGCTCTAGGTATTGGGTCTGGAATATTGGATACTATTGTAATTGGGCTTCAGGTATTGGGCCTGTAATATGTAATAATAATATTTATTAATAAAAATATAATAATAATAGTAATAATTATAACAATTATAATAATTATAATAATAAAAATAAAATAGGCAAAAATTTAATGTCTACAGCTGCCCCTCTTTGTACATTCTTGTGTTAAAAAGAATAAGGCAAATACGAAAAGACAATAAATTTTTGTTCAGTTGACTTCTCTTGATTAAGATGGAAATGTTGAACAAATTCTTCTCATTATGAATTATTCCAATGGGGATGTCAACTCATCTCCTTTTGTGATGTAATCTAGCAAAAAGTTTGAACAAGTTATGCTCCTTATTCTTCAGATGAGTTCTTCTCATTATAAACACTTCTGAAAATGTGGATGCTAATATATCTCCTTCTATGATAGATTATACAAAAGGTTGAACAAGCTCTTCTCGATGCTAATCTATCTCCTTCTGTGATAGATCATACAAAAGGTTGAACAAATTCTTCTCATTATGAACTTCTTCTTCTTCTTCAGATGAGTTCTTCTCATTATGAACTTTCTCTGGAAAAGTTGATGTTGATCTATCTCCTTCTGTGATAGAGTCATGCAAAAAGTTGAACAAGCTCTTCTCATTATGAACTTCTTCTTCCTTCTTCAGATGAGTTCTTCTTATTATGAACTTTCTCTGGAAAAGTTGATGTTGATCTATCTCCTTCTGTGATAGAGTCATGCAAAAAGGTTGAACAAGCTCTTCTCATTATGAACTTCTTCTTCCTTCTTAAGATGAGTTATTCTTATTATGAACTTCTCTGGAAAAGTTGATGTTGATCTATCTCCTTCTGTGATAGAGTCATACAAAAAGGTTAAACAAGCTCTTCTCATTATGAACTTCTTCTTCATTCTTCAGATGAGTTCTTATTATGAACTTCTTCTGGAAAAGTTGATCCATCGAATGATGAATTCAAACAAAAGGTTTGAACAAATTCTTCTCATTATGAATTTCTTCTTCCTTCTTCAGACGAGTTCTTCTTATTATGAACTCTTTCTGGAAATGTTGATCCATCAAATGATGGATTCGAATCTTTGCTAAAATCTTTGAATTTCCTGTCAAATATTTAACATGGATGAAAATGCACCTATTTTGCAAATGCCTAAATATGATGCATGAATGTTAATTTCATCTTTATTTAATTTCAAAGAGGCGAACTTAGTCTTTCTTCAATTGTGTAGAAATCCAATAAATCTTTCCTCTTCGAACGGAGAATCTATCATCTTTGAAGAGTGTAGATGTAGATATGCCTTATTTTTGTATAATGTCACAAAACCCCTTGAGAACAAAACTCAATGGCACAGGCTCTTGAAACGTTTGCACTCATGTAACATGTTGATTTTGATAACTACTCATCTGATTATGAAGTGATCTTTCAAGATGATTTCACAGATATTGATAGTTATTCTGATACCGAGGAAATCCTGAATTCTAATTCTGATGAGGAGAGTAAACTGTTATACTTGACGAAAATGGGATACTCAAATGCTAAGTCTTCAATAGTTATAGAGATGTGGTCCTGATTCATCAATTGTAGAGTTGACAGATTTTATATGTGTTGCTCAAATGGTTAAGGCTGCCGACGCACTTATTCCGGTAAAAGATAAGAAGCCATTATGCAATGATCCCAATTACAAGAAAAGGCGAAACTTGGGCTATGATTTTCTTAGAAAAAGAAGAAACATACGTAACTTGAAAAGAAGCTTCTTAATGAAGATGATCATGTAGTTCATCTTCCTAATCCAATGATTGGTTTTGGAGTTCTTACTGAACCAGATCAGATAACCCAAAGAACACTTCCAGAAGATACTATTGGGCCTCTTTATTTCTACTACGAGAATGTAACATTTACTCCAGTTGTACTTTGGCTGAAATGTCACAGTACTTATACGATGTAGAGCCAGAATTTGTAGATTCGAAGCATTTTTGTAGTGTTGCATGGAAAAATGGCTATATTCATAATCTGACAATTGATAACATATTTCCTCTTGTTCCGCTTCCAAATGACTCTATGATGGACATAACTTGTTTGCTTTTCAACAGTGATTGCAAATGTCGATAAGACTTACTTTAGATTCCATGTACTTAAAAGTATTAATCATGAAGTAATAGCCAGAAATATTTTGTTTGTTTTTAAGATTATATTAATCTATTTATAGGATGTTTATGTGAAACAAATTGAATTTTAAAAATAAATTGAATTTCAAAAAGATAAACTTGTAATAAATGATAAATATATTTAAAGTCATGACAATCATAGGAATGATAAAAATTCAAATGACTCAACAAATTATTAGCACAAGTATTTCTAAATTAATCAACTTGATATAATTTAGAGCACTGAAGTAAGCTTTTGTCTGTAAGATCTCAAACGTTGTCAGAATGCTTGTAGATGTGAAGTTTCTCCCAAACTATCAAAATCTGAAGAAGGTTTAATTTCCATATGCCTAATACCAACATGCATTTGAGTAGCCCTTTCAGGTTTTCAACTAAAATTCTTCATTTGGTTGCAAGACGCCCTTTGCGGGTTTTCATCCTTACCCTCCTTTTATATTTTTTCCTTTTTTCAACATTTTTTCCCTTATTTTTTTCTTCTTTCTTCATTTTTTTCTTTTTTTTCTTTCTTCTTCAAGCATAATATTTCTTGACAGAATCTGAGTTTATTGGGTTTCTCAGAACTTTTC